TGCGCACACATAGGGAGGAAGAGGGAGATAATAAGAGAGAGAGGAGGTAGAGAGAGAGAGAGAGGAGGGAGAAGAGAGAGAGGGAATAAAGAGAGAGGAGGGTAGAGAGAGAGAGAAAAAAAAAGAGAGAGAGAGAGAGAATAAGGGCGACAGAAGAGAATGAGAGAGAGAGAGAGAGAATAAGAGCGACAGAAGAGAATGAGAGAGAGAGAGAGAGAATAAGAGCGACAGAAGAGAATGAGAGAGAGAGAGAGAATAAGAGCGACAGGAGAGAATGAGAGAGAGAGAGAGAGAGAGAGAGAGAGAGAGAAGTGATGGGTGGGAGAGAGGGAGAAAGATGAAAAGAAAGAAAAGGATCGCAGTTGACATCTGTAAACTGGCAAGAGAGGAAGCTGCTCTTCTCTACCTCTGCTTGACCCCAAAGTGATCGCTTATGCGGTTGAGGAAATGGTGTGAAGTGGAAAATAATATGCTGAAAATGTGATAATAAAAACGAGATTGATTATATTGTGTTGTAGCCGCGTCTCCATAAGAAGATTCTGTTTGATGGAAGTTCATTAGTAGTAAGCAAGGTTAGAATTTGTGATTGTTGATACTGATAGGTGTCATAGCGTGTCCATGCCAAATTATATTCATGTATTGTAGATGTTTCCTATTTAGTTTGCAAATGACATTTTTACTAGATATTGTATTATTAATTGATGTTTCCGCTTTATGTATGATTTCTTTTTCAGCCTTTCGTCTTGCATATATCTACTTTTTAATAGGCGCACTAAACTTCGCTCTATTAATATTTTTCGAAGGAGGTACCTACGTCGAGTTCGTTATTGACTCGACATTTTAAAGATGCATTCATTATAATTGTAGAAATGTATCGAGCCCACTGAAAACAAATATACGAAATTTTATATTCTATATTTTATCCATATAGCAAAATTTAGTTATAACAAAGAAAGTAAATCATACTAATAATTAATAAATAGTTGGTTTGTTTCCACGTTAACAATTAAATGGGGGGAACGTAATAAATAGGTTGTTTGAACGGTTTCTCGTCAGACGCCTCGGGTTTTGCTTTAAACACAGGTATGATGTGCTGGTATTAAATTCGTGTTGTGCCTGGGGGTACTGGAGGTTGTGGTGCTTGATAGGTATATCAATATAATTGTATGTTTAGGTTTTGCATGGTGTTAATTTAGACAAGCATCGGATCTTGCTCCAAAGAGAGAGAGACGACGGTTGAGGAAATTCGTGGCAGAAACAAGCACTGAAGCCTCTATACAAAGAAATGTTTTAGTTATTCGGTTGTCTTTTGGCGCGAAGATTGGACAACAGAATTCGTCGAAGGAGACAGTTCCAGCAGTATCAAGGAATAGATCGAGCAAGGAGGGCAGCGTTGCCACGGTGTACAATTGTCGACTGGTATGTGAACAAAATAAGGGCGCAAAGTGCACACTGCGAACTTGTGGAGTTTGCAACAAGAAGTTCACCTGATAGGAATTTTATCTTTTACGGCTAATGTTAGGAATCAAATGCCTTTACAATGTCTGATTTTAGACTACATTACCATAGACTTGTGTAACACATTTCAGCCAGTTAAAAGAAATAGGAAATCCTAATGCACAGATATCACGAAGCATTTCTCAACTTTTCAAAATGTAAATATTGTTCGTATGTTGAGTAGCGTAGACAATTTTTGTGTATTTTTCATGTGTTATACAGACGAGTATTCTTGAGCACGTGGCAGTAGATGCGTAAATGTAAATGTACTACTAAATGTACTACTTTTCTTTAGTCCAGATTTTCACATAGCCTGGCTGGAACAAATACACATTTTCTTGACGATCCTCCAGGTGCAAGCTGTGCAAGTCAACGCTTGCTGCAGACGGCAACTCACTGCAGAAGCACAAGAGTTCTAGGAACCATCTTCAGTGTGAAGCTGCAGCTTGGAGGTCGACCTCAGTCACCCTAGAATCTCGCGAGGAGCCCCAGGATGCAGTCACGGCAGCAGAAGTCAAACTGTCTAGATTTTGCGTTAAACACGTCGCATTAAAACTGATGATCACTTAATTGGTCTATTAAAAAGTATTTTTCCCATTGGCGCAGTCACTGAAGCTTGAAACATAGATTATAAGGTTTTGTATTGTCATATTATCATGTGCATATGAAATGTTATTGGGAGATAATGGTGTCATAAATACTCTATTGTCAGATTAAAGAGCATGGTATGTTTTTTTTTTTTTTTTTTTTTTGTTAAGTTGTCAGTATTTTATTGGGACATTATGCGGTTGAAATAAATTGTATTTTGAGGTAATAGGGTTCATAGTGTTAATAGGAGTGTATGAGGTTATAAGGAATTTTATATTTAGGTTATAAAACATTTTATAGGAAATTATGAAGTATCATATTGTGAGATTGAGAAAGAGAGAGAGTGAGTGTATTTTTTGATATATTATGATATATATGCGTTTTAATATATATATATATTTTAAAATATATATATATTTTGATATATATGCGTTTTGATATATTGTTTTATTCCTATAAGGGTAATAACAATATGAAATTAATCTGCTCAGTTTAATGTCTCATTCAAGGTGCGGCATTATACATAACGAGGAAACATATATACGAAATTTTAAAAATCAGAGATGAACAATACAAAAAAAAAAAAAAAAAAAAGTTTACGTACATATCACCAAATGAAAATGATTTTTTTTTTTTTTTTTTTTTTTTTTTTTTTACCCCAACGAACATTCTTGTGCGAAACAGCTCAAAATCCTCCAGTGTGTCAAAATGTAAAACAGATAAAACTGCGGTACAGATTTATAACAGACCACAGCTAATCACAGACAGATCAAATATGGACTCGTCTTATTAAAATAATTATTCTTTCTCCTATTTTCTTCCTTCTCCTTTTTATTTCCTTCATTCCTTTTCTTATTTCATATTAGTATTATTCATTTTTTTTTTATCTTCCTCTTCCTCACTTTCTTCCTCTTATTTTACTTCTCATCCTCCTCATCTCACCATCATCTCATCTTCTTCTTCCTCCATTTCCTCTTCTCCCATTCTCCTCTTCATCTTCCTCTTACTCCCTCTCCTTTCTTCCATCGCTGCCATCATCGCTAGCCAATCACTGCCA